ATTGATGATCAGTAATCAAAATTAGCATCGATTAATATCTATTTTTTTTATCAATCGATTGCTGACCAAAAATCGATAGTGATCGATTTTGGTTGGCAATCGATGATAAAAAAAAATTGATTACCATCGATTTTTTCTAATCGATGATAATCGATTCTCAGTTGATAATTGATTGCCAACCTGGTTTAAAATTTCGTGATGTTGCTAGTTGCGATGAATTAGAGAGATCTGAAATTTTGGGATTGTTTAGAAGAGCTTTTTTGTAGTTGAGAGTTAGTGAGGTGATTATTGATTTGCGATAATTGATGTCATGTCATTCATAAAGTTTGTTCAGCTATTGGTACTGTTGAGCTTTTTTGTTTTTATAAGTGCATTTTTTGGTGATGTGGGATGTAGAAAAGCAGATGCAACATGATGAGGTTTCAGCATTTCTCATTCAAGTTTGTTGTTTCTGAGGGTGAAGTTCCTGTTCATGTTGAGATTATTATTATTATTATTATTATTATTATTATTATTATTATTATTATCTTTTTAATATTATTATTATTATTTTCTTTAATATTATTATTATTATCATTCTTTTTTAATACTATTTTTGTTTAATATTATTATTATTATCATTTTTTTCTATTATTTTTATTATTATAATCTTCATTATTACTAACTTATATAATATATATCATAAATATTATTATATAATATACAATTTTTTTAACAATACTAATATAGAATTTGATGAAAATATAATAATGGAGAAAGCAATTTAAAATGTGATTTTTCTTTTTTTGATTTCTTATTTCAAAGATACTAACTAATTTATTATATAGCAAAGTTTTTTTGCTTTGAAATTTTATGGATCTTTTAATTTTTATCTTTTTTTAGTTCAGATATGTTGTTAACTTATTGTATGGGATTGTATTAATATTAAATAAATCTTTTATAATAGTTAGTTTTTAATATATTTCTCTGAAAATAAGAAATAAAATTGTGGATATATTTTTTATTAGTAAGATAAGTTTTTAGCAAATTAAATGAATTATTATATAATAAAAAAATTCTAATTAATTATATGGTAATGGTAAGTATTTAAGGTAAGTTTTATTGATTTGTTTTGTTATTGGATTTGTTATTGGATTTGTTATAACTATATAAACTAGAATTATTTAGGACAGAATTAATTATGAAAACAGTTTATTATAACTATATAAACTAGAATTATTTAGGACAGAATTAATCATGAAAACAGTTTATTATTTATTTTATTTTATTTCATACATTAACTGATTTTTCATTTTCTTTTAAAATTTTAGATATATATCTTTTAATAACTATTTATAATTATTTGTATTCATTTATTTAAGATAATTAATTCAATTTAATTTTGTTAAAAGTTTTACATTTCGAACTTACTAATAATAATGTAGCTATAGTTTTATTCTTTTTTTCAGAAACAATAGGTTAAAAACATATTCAATATCCGGAGCTTTGTGGTGAATTTAGTGGTGAATTTGGAGCAGATTTAAAAAAAAAATAGCTATTTTATTATTACTTCTCTCTATTTTAATCTCCTCTTTTCTTACTTGTCACTCTTTTTATTCTCTCATTTGGTGTAATAATGATATATTTCCTTCCTTTTACATGTAATACCAATGAATGCATTAAAAATTAACAAAAGAATTTACGAAAATTGTAAGATTTTATTTAGGTGCTCACAATTGCCTCTTTAAAATTTAACGGTTGTATGAATATGTGAAGTTAATAATTTCATTCGATTGAGTCTTGTTCAGATCGTATGTGCGCTTGGCATTTATTTGAATTAATAATAATCGCTCAATTGAGTCTTTAGATAGATACGTTCAGTGTTGTCAAATTATACGTCCCTTTGGAACATCACAAATTTGCTTCTTTCGTAAAAGTCAGCATTTGTTTGAATGTGAAATTAATAATAGTTGATTGATTGAGTTTTTAGGTAGATATATTCAGTTTTCAGATTGAATATTACAAATTTGCTTCTTTCACGAAATTTATTGTTTGTTTGAACGTAAAATCAATAATGATACGTAATAATGATAATAATGATAATAACGTAACAATAATAATAATCACTCAATCGAGTTTTTAAATATGTAGATCATATCGATACGTGTGTCTTCGAGAACAATTACATGTACATGGTTGATGTTTCTGTTGTACAAGTGATCCTCAATCTGCAGCTGTGCCATTGTTTAAGTTGTAAAAATACCCTATCATTAATGTTATCACTATTATTAATGAGCAGAAAAAAACTATTATTAATGAAGCTAAAGACTATTTTCAATAAAGTATTCATTAAAGAAGATAAGACTATCATCAAACAAAGAAAAATCATTCATGTTTTGCATTTCGAATTGTCTATATATATGATCACTGAGTACACATTATTTGCTAAATCAAAAAACTCATTGTTGATAAAAGACTATTCATTAATGAAGATAAAGATTATCCCCAATAAAGGATTCATTAACAAAGATAGGACTCATTAACAAAAAAAATTCACACGTTTTGCATTTCAAATTGTCTATATATATGATCACCGAATACACATTATTTGCTATATAAAATCGACTCACCAACTCACTCTTCTTTAAATCAAACTCACTGTTGATGTTCGATCATGGGAGGATCTATGTCAATAACAAATGAGACGAATGTTTCGCTCAACATTGCTCTAAAACAAATGACTCCACTTTACTATCAAAATGACGTTAAACCAGGTGAAACAATGTACAGATCCACAGGGGCCGTTCATTTTACAATCGAGGCAAATATCGATTACGCAAGGAGGCATCAATATTCAAAAATGCGAAAATTTGTTCCAATTACTCTACTTTCTTTGGGTTCATTACTTACTTTGGGTTCATTACTCGCTGTCGCAAATGTTGGAATGCCGGTGTGGTTTATTAAGGTTCTCATGGCTTTAGGGCAGATATCAGTTGGTTTAAAGTCTACCTATGTTATAACGATTTGGAATAGTTTTTTTTTTTTGATTCAAGGTGGTGGAATGGCTTATAGAGAGCTGAGTAAGAATGCATCGCTATCAAGTCATGGTTGGTACGCAGGATATAATCATAGATTGGCAATTAGAGGTGGTCCCAAGGTGGTGGAGATAAATGGATGTAGATTTATCTCCTCAGATGTTGTAGAACCTTTGACAATTGTCAAAATTTAAAATCTTAACATCCCTTGTCACACCATATACAATAAGCATATTTAATATCGATATTCTTTTCAAAAGTTTATTTATCATAATTATTGTATTTGCTCCGCACCAGAAAAATTCTTAACCATTATGCATTCCGATACATCATCAGACTTGCTGATGAACTGTAAAATGATCCATAGCATGCACAGAGTTCGTAATCATTAAGATATTCCTAACACTTCCGAATTTTTAAATCGTGAACTAACTGCGACAGTGATACATCTTAGTTAAGCATAAAAATTAAACCCAAAATATGGACGAGAACTTGCTCCTTAGTTTTCGAATTGTTTCTTCGAATAATTAAATCAGATGTAAAACGAGAAACACAGCTTTGACCTTGAACACAATTTTTGTATCTTGATTATGTCAAGTCTGGCTTTATCCCATAACATCACAAATAAAAACAACGATAGCATGATCTAAAGCACATCAAGTGCGATTCTTCCTATATCGGGTGGTAGCCTTTGGTCTACGATATCATATGACGAGCAGTAAATCTTTAGGTACTATTGAGTCTCGAAATGGAATCTGCACTATATGACTGAACCCGTTTAATTTTTTTATCCCTATCGCTCTCTTATCAAACAAAGTGTATATCATCCTAGCCTCTGAGTCAAATTATCGAGATATAATATCATTGTATACCCGATTTCTAGCCGTTGGATCGGTTGCTTTTCTATCATTCTTCATAATATCCTCAATAGCTTTTTCGAATTTTTCGGCATAGTAAAACCAACACCGAATTTCGATTTGATATGCTTAAGTAACACGCTTTTTCGTCTTATTGGCTTTTTGTTATAAACGAGTGAAAGTTTTTGTTGTCGAATCCTCAGATCCATTATTATCGTCAGCTTCAGCAGATTCACCTTTGAGAGGCGTAGATAATTTCGATATTAATCCTTACACTTTATTTTCAACACGGGAGACGATTCTTTTGGTGATTGAACATGTTTGGTGGTGTCGTTTTTCTCACCTGTAACGGGTTGTGTGGTAGAAGCGGTTGATTGAGAAATAGGATCGAAATTTTCTTTGCCCGTTGGACTTCGATCATCTGATGATAACATCCGATTGCGATGGCTGGTATATTTCGTACCTGAGCTTTGTTGTGCTGATTTGGTGTGATTGCTGGAGGTACTAGCGAGTGCTGACCTCATTTTTTCGACTTCCTCCTTAATAGTTCGATGAAAACGTGGCATGTAGGACATTTTGCTTTGGTGTATATGACATACTTCTCGATCAATTGCGATGATGTATATGCCCATAGGCGAGCACGTGAATGCTTGGAATGGGATCGAAAGAATCTCTTGTTCGCATAAGAAGCATGGATTTAGCTTTAGAATTTGAGCGTTGATGGTATATGATATACGCTAGGTTCTGAAATATCTCACGATTGAGATAATTTTCTTAGGAAATTTAATGTGAGTGCTTTAAGGTGGGGGTGGTATCCATGCTAACAATTTTTGGTGAATCGATACACTAATGTGACAGAAAAATATCACTAAATAAGATTTTAAAACAGGTGAGCTGAAACATTTCTCACACTATCTTGCTATGCAGTTTATATACTTTAAAGATCCTCCGATACTTCATATGTGAAAGACCAGTCAAGATTCGAATTCCATCCATAGAATATATTTTAAAGAAATCTTGAAAATATTGCAGCATTTAGAAGAAGCAACACCAAAAGAACAAGCAAAAACTCACCATTTTGAATTGAAAGATGATAAAATTTATTTGAAGAACACATCCAGACTCACCATTCCAAATGATAAAAATTTGAAGACAAAAATCTTATTTGAATATCATGACACATCTATCATTGAACATGTTGGAATTGACAAGACATATGCAAATATTAGTTAACAATTTTATTGGTCAAAGATAAATAAAAGTATTTATAAATATGTCACCAGTTGTGAATTATGTTAACACAATAAAAGTAGTAATCAACAATCAAGTGAATTATTACAACCTTTCTCAATATCTCAAAATAAATGGGAACAAGTCACAATGAATTTCATAGTGCAACTACCAAAAATCAAACAAGACTATAACTCTATTATTGTTTTTGTTAACAAATTTACAAAAAGAGTGCACTTTGTTCCAATATATATTATAGTTACAGCACCAAATATTGCAAAAATATTCTTCAATGAGATATTTAGATAATATGGATTGTCAAAAACTATTATTTCAGATAAAGATGTTAAATTTACCAGTTAATTTTGAAAGTTATTATTTAATCAATTGAATACTAAATTGGCTATATCAACAGCTTTTCATTCACAAACTAATGATCAAACTGAAAGATTAAATAAAATATGCTTAGAATTTTTATTATATACAAACAAAATAACTGGGATAACTATTTAGCTGCTACAGAATTTGCTTATAGCAATAGTAAACAAGTATCCATCCAATATACTCCATTTGAATTAGATTATGAATAATTATCTTACACATTTATCACTATTAATACTGACAATAAAGTAGTAGTCTCTCAAGAATTCTTGGAATATTGGAATATTATAATAAAAACAGCAAAAGATGTATTAATAAAAACTTAAAATAGACAACAAAAATATACAAATCAATATTACAAATTTGAAAAATTTGAAATTGATCAAAAAGTTTTTTTATTAACTCACTTTATTAATATACTTATTAATAAATAATGATTAACAAGAAAGTTAAATATATTGAACTATTCAATATAATCTACAAAATTTTATCAGTAATATACAAATTGAAACTTTCAAACAATATGAAAATGCATTCAGTTTTTTATATTTTGCTACTAAATTATATAATAAAGATGATAAATTTAATAAATCAATATTATCACTAGCTATTATTACATCAGATAATAAAAAAGAATATAAAGTTAAAAATATTCTAGACAAGTATATAGTAAGAAAATAATTGTAATACCTTGTGAAATAGACTAAATATTCATTATATAATTTTACTTGAAAATCTTTGAATAATCTCAAAATATAATAAAAAAAGTTAAAGCTTTTGAAAAAGTACATTTTTAATATAATGTGAACATTATCTTTTAAGAGAGAGGGTAATTATAACAATTTTTATATATTCTTGTATTTTCTTTATTATATTTATTATTTTTCATGTTATATTTATCATTTTTTGCATAATATATTAGAAATTAATACAGATCTATATTTAATATTTTTTAATATTTTATCAAATAAATTAGATATAAAATATAAATCATATTTAGGCACACTTTGTTTTTAATTTCTTTTCTTTTTATTTATTCTTTTCTTTTTTATTTATTATTTTTAAATTTGTATTAATTACTTTTTATTATTATTTATATTTCATACATATCTAATTAAGTACAATATAACTTGAAGATATATCATCTTTAATATTAATAATTTAAAATCAATTATTTTTTATTTTATTATTAATTTATTTATAATTCAATAAATATTAATTATATATTTAAATATTTCTATTCTGAACTATAACTCTTTAGATCTTTTCACTATTTAATAAATAAAGAATAAGTTTTATTAAAATTAAAACTGAAAATTATCTTAATTGATATAATTTATTTACAATAATTAATAAATTTATCTTAATATTTTTTCATATAAGAAAGTATTCTTATAGTATTTCAGATTAGATTACAGATTGAACCAGATCTGGTTAAAGTACTACTATTATATATTTTTCACTAATTGTGAAATTAGCTAATAAATATGAACAAGGGTTGGAAGAGAAAATTAGATAAATAAACAAAATATATCTAAATCTTGTATTTATATCTACTAATATAAAGTGAAAAAGTATTTCATAATATACTTTAGTTTTGATAATTGTATCTAAACAATTCATAATGATTATTTTGTTAATTATTATTTGTTTTGTATTATTTTATATTATTTTATTATATTTTAACTTTGTTATAACTTAATTTTATGATTTTATTTCATGATAATATTATTAAAATAACTAGAAAATAACAATATGAATATAAAATATTAATATTAAAGATGATCTCCTAAATTATTTTTGGAAAAAATGATATTTTAGCAAATAATTCAGTTTTGCTATATTGCTTATATTAATAAATACTTAAAACCATCTAGAAATGCTTGTTTTGGTTTATAAAATTCAAATAATTTTGGAAAATAATTTTGATTACTAATAAAATAAATCAAAATAATTTTGAATTTAATTTTGACAAGTTAATTTCAGCAAATTATTTAATTAAATGACATCATTTCAGTGATCATTCTTAATTAATATTATTTTTTTTATAATTTTCCTCTTAAATATCTATTTACCTGAATTTTCTTTTTATAATTTCTCATATACTTTATTATTATAATTATTTTCTTAGTTATTTAATCCTTTAATCTACTTTATTCATTTCCAACTTATTGATCCAGGATGAGAAACTATTTCTATTTATACATTTTGGATATCAAAAAAATATTATAAAAGTAAAAAGTAAAATAAAAGATAAGATAAAAGGTATAAAATAAAATAAGATAAAATAAAAGGTAAAATAAAAGGTAAAAGATAAAATAAAAGGTAAAAGATAAAATAATTTGAGATTTTTGTTATTATATGAATATTTTTAAATATTTTATGTTTTTCAACTATTTTTGGAATTAACGATTTTTATGTTACTACTGTAACACTGCTTCTCCCAACCCAGGTTCAAGTTTGTAAGCTAATTTAATAATTAGTTTGTTACTATTTGATTAGTTATTTATGCAAATATCCTCTTTTATGTTGTGTTACATGCACAAATAAATACGTACGTAATCCCCATTGAAACTCGCCGAGTATTATTAGTAAGAAATATACGACATTAATAAATTTATCAGAAAATCATTTACAATGCAAACTTTAATATATAATTGATGCAAGAAAAGCATAAAGATATTTTTGTCAAAGAATTCACAATTTAAAACATTCGAATCAAAATATGGTATTTCGGGACAAAAAATGTTAATGGTTCTGAATTGTCAAATCGAGCATAAAAGGTTTTCTTCCGCGTCTTATTTTTGTAAAACAAATATGAACTCACAATAAAATTAATAGTATTTGCTATAAATGAGTTGAAACTTTTACAAGTATTGAAATAAAACGAAACAAGTACTCAACAAAAAGTGGATACAGGGTATTTATTTAGTCATCAATAACTATGATTTCAGTAGCAGTTGATGAATTTAAAATATGTTTTACTTCTTTTAATAGAGCTGATGCCAATAGCGGCGGAACAGCGTTGCCCACTATTAGAATGTTATTGTGAAGTCAATCTAAGAAAATATTCGTTTTTTTGATCAATTGAAAAATTACCTTGCTTATACATCGATTTAATGCTTTCTCCGAGGATTTCATAATCGTCGGGGAATCCTTGCAATCGGCATTGTTCCCGGACAGAAATGTATCGCCATCTTGACGGATGGATACATTTCCATCCAGGGTTTAAAGATGCAAGGACGGTCATGCTAATGTCATCCCATTTTAGTTGGGTCATGTACGTAGGCTGCGTTTTCTGATAATCAAATATATTGAATATATTTGAGAATCTACTCCTAGTCGACCGAAGGTCTTCAGGAAGGCCTTTTATATACAAAAAACGTGATATAAAATGATTATTAGAGAACAAAGTAAATAAATTTTCAATCAATTATTATAACCTGCAAACGCCTCGCGTATTGTCGGCGTTCTTTTCAAGCCTTCTTCTAAAAGCTTTAATCTTGTTTTAATGGAACATTTATTCCAAATAAAATGAGTTGGCTTTGGCCAACTTGGTTTTATTTGGTTCTTTTTCACGCCTAACAAAAAAAATCTTTTTCGTTTCTGTGGTACTCCATAATTTGAAGCAACCAGATAATTTGTTTCGAAATCATATCTAATGAAGATCTCAAAAAATAAAGGTAAGAATCTTTCACTAGCAAAATGAGCAAATCTTAATAAATTTACCCGAGATCAACTAAATTTTTGTAAAAAGTCGTCGTTATTTCTTCGGATTCCTTTTTGGTGTGAAAGCCGACAACATTTTCCATAACAATGATTTTAGGGTTTATTTTTTTAATAGCTTCTATAGAGTAAAGCAAGATATTATTCTGCTCTGCACGAGATTGTTGAGTTCCGCGGGTATTCGCACTCGAAAACCCTTGGCATGGCGGAGATGCTAACAAGACATCGACGCGGAACCATTGATCACTTAAGCGATTTAAAAAGGTCTTGACATTCTCATTGAAAACCAATGCCGAAGAATGGTTGGCTTGAAATGTAATACACGCATCTGCATCTATATCTACTGCCCATTTAATTTGAAAGTTTTCTGTTTTGGCGCCGCAACTAAAGCCACCAGCGCCGCAAAATAAGTCACCAACTGTGTAAGTAGTATTTGTGTTTGACGCCGAAGACTATTACAAGAGAAAAAAGACGGTTGAACTTTTATGTCATAAATATAATAGCTTTAAAAATATACTACCATAAAGAAAATGTGTTAAATCAAGGTTTGGAGATTCAGATGGTAAGAATTAAGTAGAATAACTAATAAAACAATCAAAGCAGTTTTTATATACTTTTTTTGATTCTCCATGTGATATTTAGGGAGACAACTGTTGAGCACTCATCACGCCTTTTATCACATTCTAATGCTGACCTTTATTAAACTTAATGAAATTTTATTTTTATTTGCAAACGAAGTCAGATACCATTATACCATTATACTATTATACTTGATTGATTAAGTTGCTGATAACTTTGCGATGCTTTTTTGTGGTCATGTTAATATAATAAACCCAATGCATTGTGTAGATTTCTATTATTTTTTTTAGAAGAAAATTGATATCTCGCCAAGCCAGATGTTCATACATTTTTTACTTTTAACCTTTGAATAAATTGAATTGCCTATTTTTTCAAATAAAATAGTATATGCACACAAAAAAATTACACCATTCAACTTTTCATTTCTTTAACATATTTAAATAAATAGAAAATTAAAAAAATGACCAATTCTTATTCCAAAATATTGCTCACTCAAAAAAATGAATAAATTCGGTAAAGAATTTAGTTTTCAATTTATTAATGATAGAAAAATGAATATTTATGAGAACCTAAGCTACAAAATGATGTATTTTTTAAATGTACAGAAGGTCATCAATACATGTATTATGCGGACACTTTGCAAAATAAAATCTAATGAAGAAATCTCATTTCATGAATTAGAATTTTATCTCCTCTGACTATTTTTCTATATAATATATAATAGATTAATACTTGGCTCGACCACCATCGATCCACCTGGATGAGATGAATCGAATGGTGGTATTTATATTTAAAATGGACTATTGGATGCCAAAATACCGCGACTTAAAAAAGATGATTTTGAAAGAACGACACAATCAATTTTGGACACATTCGTTATCTTAACTTTCTGTGATCCGTTTCAAACCATTCGATCCTCCTAGATGAGACGAATCGAATGGTAGAATATATATATATATATTCGCTAAATGTTAAGAAATGCACCCCCAAAGTGACTGGCATTTTTTAATAATCATGGTTTTTCACCATCCTAGCATCCAGTGATCCGTTTTGAATGTAAATACCATCATTTGATTTATCTCGCCCAGGAGAGATTGAATAGTGGTATTTACGTTCAATTCGGGTCACTGGAAATTAAGTTATCGCGTCCATTTTATTTAAAAAAAATTTGCTTAATCGAATTCATGATGTTATTCTTGCTAATGGTGGCTGAATAAAGTATTAAGACACTCTTTAATTCATTTATCTGTTTTAGAATACACTAAAGAACTATAGAACTGAAATGCAAAGTAGATAGTCTTCAAATAGTTTTGGGAGTCATGATATAGACCTAGGTTACAAATAATGTGCAAATTTGTCATTGAAAATGTTGGGATCCTATTCCAGGAAACAGACCAACTGCTGAGGAATAAATATCTGCAGCTTTAGTGTATGGCTTTACATTTAATACCTCTGGACTAATATAAGAAAGAACTCCATAAATTTGTTGATTAGAATTTTCTATATCTACTGGCCGGGAAGTCTAAATTCGGCAATTTGAACATAATTTTTTAATATTACCAGGACGAAAATCATGATGCACAAGTTCCTCTATGAATTTTATTAGATCAAAGAGAATATTGAGTATTTTCCTTCCCAATGAAAGATAATTTGACCAATGAAAATTTATCTAAGAAATTAAGAGGTATAAACATCTATCGTTGGATGTTGTCTTAATGGATCTAAATGAAGCTGGATCTAAATCTAAACCTAAACGACAAAAAATACACCTGAAACATTTATCTAATAGAAAGCGTCATTTTTAGTTTTGAGTATGTGAAAATTTTTATTTCTGTTAAACAATATTATATTAACACAAATATATACGATATCATTCTTGTACACATGCTAAGAAATGGATACCGATATTATAGTCAAGTTAAGGTATTAAAATATAACTATTTGCTAGCCAGACCATACGTTATTCATCATCGTAGTTATGGTTTTATTGGATTTTAATGTGTTGCTTTTTAGCTTCGTCGCGTGGCACCTAAATGATAATAGATGCATAAATTCAACTAGTTTTTAAACAAGTGACAACGACGACAACGACGACGACGACATACAGTGATTTCAAGAACTCCTTTATCGAACTTAGCTTGCACTTTTCCAGCATCAATACCGGCTGGTAATGGAATTTGTCGCTGCACAATCGAGAAAAGATTTTTAATCGTCGTTAAACTAAAAGCCGAATATAAAACGGCAAAAAGAATGTATACCATGAATCGGCCAAATCGGCGTTCGCGAACCAATCCATTCCACTCTTGATGTTCGTCTTCAGAAGTAGTTTCGCCACTAATCATCAAATTGTTGTCGCGAATTTCGACTAATTGCGAATAAAGCAAAATTAATTAATAACGTACAATTGAAAATGAAATGCAATCAAGGCATACCGTTGACGTTTTCTTTGGGGACACCAGGAAGTTCAGCTATAATAAAACCACAATATTGGGATATAGTAAAATGTCGCTAGTAAATAATGTAAAATTGTCTTAAAGTTTGACATACCGTGTACAACGATTTCCTTTCCGGTATCACGTACTAAGAAAACAAATGTAAGACGAGTAGAAAAAACATACAAGAAGATTTATAGAAAATACCATCAACAGAAGGCCTAAAGCCAGTGGTTAAAGCACCGAAATCTGTACATGAAAAACCGATGGGGTCAAAACCGCCGAAACCCAGTAATCAGAAAACATATGAATATAAACCTCGAATTGCATGAACAGTAAAAGTATCACACTAACCTCCCCTGCCACCATAAATATCAGCCCTAGGAGAATAGCGTTGAAAGTCGCGGTTTCCTTCCCAGCCATAGATATCTCCAAGGTTGCTGCCCCAACCGAAAGGATGGAATAAAGCCATGATTAATTAAGTACGAAAGTAAAAGCAACAAATAATTGAAGAAAACTTTGTAAAGATATCGTTTAAGGTTTTGGAAATATTTGCCAGTTCTGGGAAAGAGAAGAGAAAGTAAAATAAAAGGAAGGATAGAATTGCGTGCATTATATATTTGTGAGAATCAATTTTCTGGTTGGCGTAATTGATTAATACAGTAGCGCCATGTCATTAGAAATTTCTAGAACTTATTAATAATATATCAGATCTCGATTTAACGATGGGAAAAAATGTCGTAATTTCAAATGTAGATGGGAATGATTATTTCTTTCTATAGTTAAGATAATTTTCTTAGAAAATTCTAAATCTTGAAGTTGGTTAGCTAACTAGAAAGCTTTTACTATTTATTTATATATTATTAAAAAACAAGTTTCAGCTAAAACATGAATAGAAGTTAATTAAAATTTTAAATAACTTTTCTTCATGTTCCTTCGTATTTTCAACTTTTTTAGATTGATATTATAAGAAAAATATCAATTTAAATCGTTTTGTTTATATTTAAAATGTTTAAGAAAATTATCTTACCTATAAAAAAAATAACTATTTCTATTCGCATTTAATAATATTTCTGATTGCAGTAATTATTATTGCTATAGCATTCAAAACAAATTATCATATTAAAATAACATACAAATACTAAACCAAAATTTATTATTTTATTAAACATGATGTTACAATTAATATATTAGATACTTTACTATTTTTATTGGATTATTTTATTTATATAATATTTTTGAATACATGTTGCAATGTTCAGTAACATGTTGTAATATTCAGTAATATATTGTAATAAGATGCAAAAAATTGTAACATATATATTAGATAATTAACTATATAATGAAGAGTTCTATCTCACAAATAAATAAATAATTAATTAATTAATTAATCAATACAAAATCTAGTTAGTTAATAAATCACTTTTTATTTATTGTTAATAAAATTTGTTATATTAATTGATTTTATAATAATAATTATATTATAATATTTGTATTTATTGTATATTATTGGCCATTAATCAAGTTGTTAAAGAATATTAATATTACATTATTTTATTAGTTTATACTTTCTAAATATAATACAAATTTTAATTTGTTATTAAAAAATAATAAATTACTTTTATATTTGAATTTCTTTATTTTTATATTATTTATAATATAAAATTCAAATTAATAAAGAAACTAATAAAAAATTCAAGAGAAATAAAAATTTAAAATAATTAATATTATACACATTTCTATACTATATTACCAAAAATTGAAAAAAATAGTAAAACATAGTAAAATTGACATTATTACTTTATATTAAAATTTGTTATTTTATTAATAAATATTTTTTCTTTTTATACTAAAATAAAGATGGTAATCTATATTTTTAATATATATTCTTCAAGAATATTCTAGAATTTTTTAGAATTTCTGTTCACTTGTAAACATGAAAAAAAATTTTTTTACAATTAAAATTGAAAAAATTGCAATTTTAATTATAAAAAATTCTAGAAGAATATATAGATTACCATTTTTATTTTAGTATAAAAATAAAAAATATTTGTTAATAAAATAACAAATTTTAATATAAAGCAATAATATTAATTTTACTATATTTTACTATATTTTTTTTCAATTTTCAATAATATAATGCAGAAGTATATACAATAAAATATTTTAATTATTAAAATTATTATATATTATATTTTTTCTATTTTATAGATAAACTTTTTTTATTATGAATATGAAATAATTTTATTAGCTTATGTTTTTTAGTTATAGTAATTTTAAATTAAAGATATTAAATTTATACTTATATAATTATAGTATTAAATTTAAAGTTTGTTAATATTGTTAGCTTATATAATCACAAAAAATTAATATTAAAATTTATTTTATTATTTAAATTAAGATAAAAATTAGAGTAAAAATAAAATTATATATAAAATTATCTTTTTAATATTTTTTATTAATATTTTAAGCCAAATTTTAATATCTATTTTTTGTATTTTTTATATTATTTAATTTTTTTCATTTTTTTATATTAGATTTAATTAATTAAAAATTTATGTATTTTTATTAATTTGTACTATTTGAAAGAATATTTATTGAATTATATTATATAATATTTATATAAATATAATTTTTGTAAATAATAAAAAAGTTTTATTTTTTTAAAATTATATATAATTTGTAATACATTTATAATACTAACTTTTATATACAAAATATAATATATATACATCTCTACATTATATTACTAGAAATTAAAATTTTTATACAAAATAAAGATAATAATCTATATTTTTAATATATATTTTTCTAGAATATTTTAGAATTTTTAGAAGTTTCTGTTCATTTGTAAACATGAAAAAAATTTTATAATTAAAATTGAAATTTTTTCAATTTTAATTATAAAAAAATTTTTTTCCATGTTTATAAGTAAACAGAAAATTCTAAAAATTCTAGAAAATTTCAAAATAATATATATTAAAAATATAGCTTACCATCTTTATTTTAGTATAAAAATAAAAAAATATTTATTAATAAAATAACAAATTTTAATATAAAATAATAATATTAATTTTACTATATTTTATTATTTTTTTTCAATTTCTAATATATAGTATAGGAGTATATATAGTTATTTTATTAATAATTGTGGCGGATTAAAATGAAACCAGATTAAAACGAAACAGAGTGTGATGTTTAAAT